GGGTTGTGTCTACAAGGACAACCAATAAAACGTCTTAACCATCTCTTCACGTTTGTCAACCGGGTCAGCCGTGCTCATCCAGCAGCACTAGGCTTGGGGCCAATCAACAATCACACACACCCAAAACCTTTAGTCTATTCAGGAAAAAAACGGAAAATAAAAATAATTGACAATACAAGAGATGTTTGTCCGTGCGCCACGGTTCGATGCCGTCCGCATGCTCCGGTTCCGCTCCTCTNCTTGGTCTGAAAATTCTCGCGCCGAAGAGTCAACCAGCCCAATCAGCTCGTCACCACCTGTCCCCTCCTCCTTTGATGGCAAAACCAGGTTACTGAGACAGTACGGCTCCCTCTAGCAAACCTAGGGCCGTGTACGTAGAGCCCGTCCACCTGTATGGTAGACTAAAAATAGAAGGACTTGCAGGAGTCATCTAAATGTTCGTCGGAAGATCACGGTTGTCCAGACGTCCAGACTACACTGCTTACAACATTGTCTATCGTACGTTGTTGTTGTTGTTGTCGATTCTCACATTAGCTTTATAGACTAGTCCACAAAATGGTATGCGTATGTATGCATTACCGATTACCGTGGTACCCAGTGGCCCATCGTACGTACTTGTTGTACTCGCGTGCGTCGTGGATTTCGAAGAAAGTTTCATGCATCGATAGCTCTCCTTGCTCGTACCTGTCGGAGGCTGAGAACCCCTATAGTCTAGAACAAGATGAAAAACAGCGTCTACAACAGCAGCGTGCTGTGTAGAAACGTGACATGTGGTGTAGATACACACCCAGCATATTCTCGAATCTCGAAGTAACTTAGACTACAGACTAGACTAGAGGTAGCTACATGCTGTCGTAGGAGGTCGCGGGCCAGTGCCTGGAATGCCTTCGCATCCTGTGCCGTCATCGGCCGCTCTTGCCCACACGCCACGGCATTGCGAGCTACTACATGCTGTAGCTCGGATGTATGCGCCACGGCGGAAAGAACGTGCGCAAGTGTGTGCTACTTGTAAGACAGGCACACATGCCACAATTTTTGCAAATTATTCACACAGGTTCCAAGTTTTTGAAAGACAAATGTCGAAAATTTTGACAAAAAAGTCGGTCCGTTTAAAACGGGTCGTGAGTGGTAGACTGTACTTGCCGTGGTTTGTAGGCGGTGCTCATGCCATGTCCATTGCCGGTAGGTGTAGACTGACGGCATCTGGGGCAGCATTTGACTAAAACACACCAACCACCGTAGCTTGCCATGGTTAGTTTATTCGGTTGTTGTACGTCTCTCCTGTTGGTTTTTCGAGAGTGTTGTTGGTTGCGGTTGTACTCTGAACGGTACAAAGTACAAATCGTCCCGGAAATCCGATCTGTGCAGTTCCTCTTCTTGTTTGCTCTTCGAGGCGAAGTAACGAATCGCTGTCGCCACAAGTTGACCTACAAGAAAATATCCAACGAAGAGCAACTTTTGATTGTATTCAGGTGACGTAGCGGATTCTTTCTCTTGATGATGCCCCTTGTCGCGTTGTTTCTAGTGTACATCACATCGGCTAGAAGTTGACAATGATGCCCTAAACACTAACACGAGCAACGAACCAATGTCACGTCACCAAGTCCCAACGCCAACATCAACACTACTACGCGAACATTGCTGAGACAACCACGGCCACAACTTCGGCAACAACACCATCAACAATGACTACACCACACCACCTTCCTCATTACTAATAAAATATCCAAACGACGACTCTGACGAAAAAGCAGCAAATAATCATACCCTTGCGTCGCTCGTCGTCGCCGCACGCTAGCTTGACAACGAAGGCCGCAGCGTCCGGGGCGACTCCTCGAGCGGGCTGACCCTCGTGGCTACCAACGAGTACGGCGAGTACGACCGGGGAGCGCTGGCGCTGTATGGGTTCGACATGCTGGTGGAACCCTACAAGAAGACCACGATCTCAGTGACCGGTCTTGCGTCCTCGTCGGGAAGCACCTCGTACACGTGGCTGCTCGTGCGCGAGGACGACGACGAGCCCGAGGCGGTCGACCTTGAGGTCGTCGAGCAGAACGACGCCCCCAGCGGCTCATCGGTCAACGTCACGCTCATCGAGGCCGGGGCGACCTACTCGTTGCGCGTGCAGCAGCGGGAGCTCGCTCCGGAGGGCGGCGCCGACGCCTCGGTCCCGGTCGTAGTCTCCTAGAAGACGATACAGGTGACCTGCAGGCACGTGCGGCGGGAGCTCCGGGACCTGACCTCCGAGGATAGGACGGCGTTCTTCTCGGCCATGCGGAAGTTCTACACGGTCAACCTGGAGGCCGGCAAGGAGAAGTACGGGAAGACGTTCGCCAACTCCAAGATAATGAGTACCTACCACCACTCGCGGGTCAGAGCGGGGGGTCGAAACACCATCCGTTCAGCGCAGCAGGCTTTGGTGCATGATTCACGTTCTAGCGTACAAACAGGGTTATCCTTGGAATATCCACGGCTTGAGGTCAGCGCGATTGGTTTTCCACGCGGACACAGGAGTAGCGGGATTACCGCTCGTATCCGGAAGGAAAAACTCGGATATGGTGCTCACGGACCGTGTTGGCGCTACCGTATCCTCTACCAAATAACCGCTATTTTGTTCTCTTAAGATGAAGTGAGTGTTGAACGCCCGCTAGCTTTCGCTCTCCGATTCTTTTTTTTTTTCCTTCCGTTATCGCCCTTTTTCAGAACTACTGTTTCCACTCGGGGATGCACTTCCTCAACGCCCATGCGTCCTTCGACCTTTGGGCCGAGCGGTCGCTGCAGATGATCTACCCTACGGTAGCGATGCACTACTGGGACTTCACCATCGATGCCGCCACCCTCGGACCAGAGTGAGATCAAGTACTGCTGTAGTGCAACAACCACTACCCGTTGTCTCCCCGCTGACGCCGTTCAAGAGCCATCGAGGCATGTTGGAGGCCAAGAGTAAGAGAAGCATCCACTGCGAAAACGTTGCTCGCTACACGGTCCCACGACCCACCGCTCAAGTGGGGGTGGGCGGCGAGAAAGTTGCTCGAGGAAAAAAAAGAAATGCTCGGCCAACTTCCCTACGCAATGTTGTCTGCATTATGCCCTACACAAGGCGCCTGTGCTTTATACAATGGCGAGAAGAATAACCGCGGCAGGCCATTATTTAGTGTGCAACAAAATTTGGTCAACCATTTTGGCCAACCGCCAATCCAAGTCCAGCTCTCCAAGTCGGACACAACGGTATCGTTTAATCGCGCCCACTCCCATCGGTGTTTGTCATCGGGATTGGGTTTTCATCGCTTGGCAACGACGTTGTAAAACAAGCCAATTCACTTCGTGAGCTCGGCAACCAGGTTACCGTTTTTTTGTTTTACACCTGTTTTTTTTTTGGCGGTAACCATGATGGTGGTCGGGTGGATCATGTTGTGCGGGGTGGAGACGCCTCACTCCCCGCAAGGAGGATGATCGCACCGCGTTGCGTTGAATTGATCAAGCACCCTCGAGGCAGTTATACGGCGCTTATTACTGTCTCTGGAAGTGAACACCAGAAAATAAATTAAGTCTTACGCAGGCGTCGTCCGTACGCAAGGCACAAGATGCCGAACACGCTTAGCAGGATGCAGCGCACCCTTCATGCGACTCGCCGAATATCTCACGGCGCTTCGCGCTTAGTGACGTGAGAGCCTGGTCCGGTGAGAACCCGGCGTGCTCCGTCCCGGCTTTGTAGGGATGCGAGGTCAATGGTCTAACGACTACGGCATGCACGACTATGAGTACACCCCCACTCCCTTCCACGGTGCCACCAGGCGGCACCTCCGGTGCACTCCTCGTAGCATCCTCTCGAAGTACGCTGTGCACGTCTTTCAAACGCCGACATCCCTACGACAACGTATTGCTGTATATGGACACCGTTGTGCTTTACATCCTCAGACACTAGGTGTTTTTCTTTCCGTAAACGAGCCGGTTCCCCAGGTGAAATTACCGTGTTTTGGTTTGCAGTACTTGCGGCACCGGCTTTCCAACTTTCTCGGTAGTAGAATGACGGGGTTCCTTTTTCTCTCGCCGACAGGGAAGTCAGCGTATCGATGCAAGATGTAACACCGACTGCTCTCGTTGGAGAGCTGAGCATTGTTGTTCAACGGGCGTCAGGCCTTCGATAGGTACACGTTCGTAGACGCAGGCATGTCTTCTCCGCGAGCTGTTCAACAGGAGGCTAACCCGATGGGCCAACACCCAAACTCGACGATGCACCGCAGTTGGGCGAACAGCGCAGTTTTCAGCAATGACATGTACGGGTCGGCACTGGGGTCCCCCGACAATGGCGACCAGATCTCCGAGGGCTGGTTTGCCGACGTGAAGTCCATCTACGACCCGGACGAGACGTTTTTGCAAGAACAAATCAACCCTGGCCACAGCGTCTACGGATACATTGACGCGAAGTTGAACATCCAGGTACGATATTCGCTGGCCTCTTCCTACACTGCACGTTGTGCTCCCCCGCCCCCTGCAATGCTCTTGTGACCGCATACATTTTGCCCTTCGTGGACTCAACGCCACCAAACGTGTGCCCTCGGGGTAATAAACGCAATTGGACAATCACGTCTGGAACGCAGTCGCCACAACGACCTGTCACCGCCGCATTCGTATTGCCACAAAGTGGCCTCTTCCAGCACTCAAAGCGCTTGTCGCGCTCGAGAAAAGGGCTGATCTTAGCGGCATCGGCAGTCTCGGAGCTGGCAGAAGGTAGGCAAG